TACTTCAGCTTTGAGCTAGAAATTTTCAATACTACTAATATATGGAATATATGGAAATGCACTTTTGAGCAATTCATCAGACACATAACTCCTGTTTTGAGCTATGACAATACCTTTTACAAGATAAAACACACCAATTTTCTTTTTGATGGGTAGAAAAATTGAAGCTGCCATTTGTCTAGTAGTAGCTAAGCAAAACCAACATTTATACCTTTTTATTATCTTTAACAGCCTACATTCCATGTACCTGTAACTATAGGGGAGGTCTGCCAGCCTGAATCAATGCTCACCAGCTGTAAAGGGGCTCCCACTTCAACTAGTCCCAGTGGATTTTGTGACCTGGAGCTGTCAATGAAGGCACAGCAATGCCTGTGATATAAAGAGACTGTGTGCACACACCAAAGAAGCAGAAGTTTGACCAGAATACCCACGAGAGGCTTCTGTATCACAATTTTTGCACCTGTGAAGGTCAGACAGACCCATTCTGAAGACCTACAAGCACCTCAGGAGCTTCCCTGCCCTGCACCTGTTTCAACCTCCCTGGCTGAACTTCTGCAGAGAGAGAATCATGTGTTGCAGCTCAGTGCTCTCTGTGGAGAGTGGTGAAAACTTGTGGCATCCAAAGAACTGAATACAGGACTGCCTGCCATGTTAAAAGTAAAAACTTAAACAGCAGAAAGCTACCACACTCTAAAAAGCATGTCTGCAAAGTTGAGACATTCTCTCAGAGAGGCACATCTTTATATGATAACTCTCAGGAAGGAGACTCTCCAAGATTATGAAACAGAGAGACAAATGTAATGATTGCTTTATCTTGAAAAGCACTTGGAAAGCTTCCCTTGGGGAGACTGCAGTCAATTCACTTTTGTAGAGAAAAATTCCCCCCACTGGCAGGTAGACAGCTTATACTTTAGCAAGGGAGAAGGGCATGCTGCTCACACGTATGCCAGTAATTTGCTGTCAGGGAGAAAGGAGGTAATGATGCTGGACAGGCTGTGTAAATACCAAAAGCCCAAAACCTAGCAAAGGAAGAATCAGAGACACAGAAGGCAGAACGGAAAATACCAAGAGGATGTTATGCTTGATACATATGAATTCTCCCAGGATCATGTATTAGGAAGCACTGGATTATTTTACAAGAACAATACGAAGAGAGAGATGTTGAGAAAATATGAATTAGTTACAGGAGTATTTAGGGGCCTGCAGGAATGGAAAAGGGAACCAACCAAGAAGGCAAAACATCTTCTTAAAAGACGAGGGGGTGAGTAAAGACAGAAAAGCCCTTAGAAAATATAAAATGAGGCAGGACAAGATTGGTGTTAGCACAAGCTTTTGAGGCAAGGGGAACAGCTCCTCTGCAGTAAAAAAACCCCATAAAACTGTTTGCTGCATCCCTTGTTATTTCAGCAGGGATCTGCTGGAGTCTATATAAGGGTGACACCACCGTAACACAGCGATTACCTCAGACACACCTCTCCTCATCTGTGCAACTAATGCTGGCTGAGTCCTGCAAACACCAATTACATGGAGCAGCTCTCCTCGAGGACTTCAAGCCCAGGGCATGTCTGGTTGGTAAAGCTACCCCAGGATACCCCATTGTTGTGGTACAGCACTGGGATTTGTCACATGGTCTACCCTAAATTCCGTCCAGAAAGAAAGAGAAGTCATTTCTAGTTTTATTATTGCATTGCAGCATAGGATGAGTTGCTGCAGAAAATGACAATGTTTGGATATGCATTGAACACAAACTGCTCAAATACTAGAGCTGGTCACACAAGGTGACAGCAAGAACTGTGTTTAAGCAAGAGCACCAGGTGCTGAGCCCACAGCGTCCCCAGCTCCCTACAGCAAACAAAGAAGCAGGATAGGAGGAATCTGGTGGTTGGCATAGGGAAATAAAGGCAGTCCCTGGCTGGCAGAGAAAAGTGTCTGAAGGGACAACTGTTGGAGGGTGTGCCAATACACAGGACAAAAAGTGGGAATGTTTGGAGTGTCAAGAGCTGGGCAAATCATGGGGTAAACACACTGCCCTGCTGCCTCATACCTACCACTGCAGAGCCTGATAACAGCAGCTGACAAAAGATCAGCCATGGGGCATTGCTAACTGCGCTCAACAACTCCCACCTCCACCAGCTTCCAACACACAGAAGGCAAATTCTGATTTTTTGTCCTGTCAGTGATTTTGCCTCATCTTTTGTACTGCTCCAGATGCTCCTTAAAACAGAGCAAGTAATATTTTTGCTTCCCATTTTGCTTATTTTAAAGTTTCCTTATTTGTACCAGCCACTTCTTTAAAGTGAGATTTGAGTCTAAATGAGGACACAGCTGCATCCTCCTCTTCCCTCATCTCTCCATTAGCTGCAGTTGGCAGTGAGCCTTGGAGCAGTCTCACTTCTTCACGTTAAATATTTTGGAAAACAGAGATTAGTCAGTTACCAAAGCGATGTTTTCAATATCTCAGAGTTCAATAATTGACTTCCTTGAAATTTTCAACTGCTTCTAGTGACTTCTGAAGTCTCAGCCCACAAGAGAGACAACAGCAGGATAACACTTTATTTAAGGCTTAGCATGATGCATAACCTGCTTCCTCTTTGCCATTTCGTAACTGAAGGAATTAACACAATCGATAGCTTGGCAGCAGTGTTTAGGGAGCTTGCCACATGGAGCCCAGGTAGGAGATCCTCGGGCTCAATGTCAGCATCCCCCATCCTCCCAGCTAACACAAACAGCTCATTTTGTCCTCCCCACCCACTGGACACCCCAGCATGCTCACCTCTAATGTCAGTGCTAGAATGGCTTGTTGGTCCTACACAGACCAACACAGAGGATGCCTACACCTACATCCTGGACTGAAAGATTTAAGATTGCTTTGGACAGCCTCAATAACTATTTGAATTTGATTATAAATAGCAAGACCCATGCCACTTCTTGCTTTCTTTGTCACACACACCTCAACTGTAAGACAAAACAATCCTCCTCCTTTAGGCCTGATTACATAAAAGTTTGTTCACATCTTTGACTGCAAAGTCTCATCAAAATTAGCATACAACCAGTAAATACTGATAATATGCATCCAAAATCTTCATGGGATGGCTTTACCTCAGATGCATCAAAAGGTATTAGAATGTTCTTTACAAAACTTCAGTTTATCCCATCAGTTTTCTCAACTCCACTTTCAGTGGCACTGTACAACAGGCAGAGAATTTCAGAGTACCAGGGACATTGACAGCAGCTCATTTCTTAGTATTTTTTACATGCTGATTTACATTTTGAAAAGACGTGTAGATTTATGAGAAGATAAAGGTGTATATAAAAGTCACACCTACTAAATGCATAGCAAAGTGATGTGTGAGCTAAGATAGTATCATACATGAAATTAATCATGTGCTGAGGTGTCTAACCTCTAACTTAATTGAAAATTAGAAGTGTCTATTATAAACATTTAGACTTAGGAGACCAACAGACTAATCTGGTACATGAAAAGCTGGAACAATGAATGTGATTGAGTCACCAAATCCCAGGGGTAACGGAGTGGATTACTAAATCCTCTAGTAGCTGATGCTTGTTTAATGACAGCTTTTCACAAAATAAGAGAGGGACGACTAATAGGATGTTTCATTGCCACCTATACCCAGAAGTGGCCACATAACAAGATATACTACTATTGGAAAGAATTGTATAGTATTATCATCAAATTTTAAGATACAAGATTGCAATTGTGACACAGAATAAAGTCCCACTTTTGGCAGCTTTTAGAAACCTCATGAGTGATAAGTTATGTCTTTCTCTTGCCAGGATACAGTTGCTTAAAAATTTCCAGACAAGTGAAATACTTTAGTTTGAATAACAAAGCATTTGTGTACAGAAAGCACTGGGTACCACAAGTAAAATGTAGCAAATAATCTTTATTAGTAAATATTTTTTTTTATTCTCCTGTCCCCATTTTAAAGAATTTTTTTTTTTAAATGGCTGAAAATGAAGAGCTAAAATACAAAACCTTTCAAGCCATAAACACTTTCAAGGCATAAACCATAATTACTCTGAAAAAAATATAGCCCACTCTGAAAGAGCTGCACTCTTAATCTAAATATCCAACATAGCAAAAAGTTAAACACAATTCCAGTTACCTCTGCACTGTCATTTACAGCTACCAAGTAGTTCTGGAGTAACAATAATTTCATTCTCAAAATTTAACTAATTTCTAAATTAGACTTTGGAACCAGATACAGACCTGCTGACATGAAGTCCTGAAGTACTCTCAGTCTATTAACACTCTATTTAAATTACACTGTGGGACAACTAAGTTAACTTGTTTTCACCAGAGCAAAGAGGGAGCCCTCAAAAGTTAGGAGGAGCCTAACGGCCTTGTAAGGAATGGCTGCCTCCTTTAGCTCCTGCCTAGTGATAAGCTTTTCCAGACCAAAACTGGAGGATAGCCCTCCAAGAGTCTCAGGGGTGGCTCTTCTGTGACACCCTGCTCAGAGAGGGCTCACAGGAGAGACACCCAAAGATTTAAGTCATCTGTGAGTTCAGCTTTAAGCCCCACCTGACCAAGAAGCACGAGTTCAACCTTGCACAGCAGAATAAAAGAATAAAATCAAGCAGGCCTGTTCCAAGCATCTGAACACAAACTACTCCTTCTGAAGCCAGGTGGCCTCAGACTTGGACCAGGGCTGTAATACACATTCAAAGGCAATCAAAGAAAGCTTCATGTTTAACTCTGATCTCTGGCTGCACATGTTTGGCAGCACTGGCAGGCCCACCAACAGTAAAGTTTAATAGCAAGAGGAGTTAAAAAAAAAATTCAGTACTCCAGGTGGAACCTCAAACACACAAGAACCCAAGTATCAGCAACTTCCCACCTACCCTTCAAGTCACAGCAAACAAAGCTCTCTCATTATCCTCCCATGCCCCACCCCACCTCCCACCCCTCAGTTCCAGGATATCCACCAAACAAAGCATATACTTCATATTCCCAGAAATGCAGGATTAGAAAAATATTTGACATTTTCAACTTCCACCAAAGTTACTTTAGTATGTTACATGTCAGATATTTTACTTTCCACAGCAGAAAACAGAAAATGCAATAATCAAAGTGGCTAAAAGTTGAAATAAAATGCTGTGAATCTGTTTGGCACAAACAGGCCTGCTGTCTTTGCTAAAGAGCAAATCTGTTGACATTGAATATTTTAACACAGTGATCGGCTCCACAACTTGCAAGCTGTAACCACTTGCTGCTGTTCTCATCATTATGTCCAGCTCTGCCTGCATGATGTCTCCAACATAAGCGTTTCACAGCAAGAGCATGACTTTGGCTGCAAGAAGAAGAAATCCATACGTAACTGCAAAATGTTAAACACAGTTGGGTATGTGAGTGTAAACGTCAACATTGATGCAATTAGTACTCTTCAGTTAACACTACCAACTGAGGAAAAACTGACTTGTGACAACCAGCAGGTATTAAGCTCTTATTAAGCAGGGTCATTAACACTAATGACGTTTTATCCTCTCACTCATCAGTAATTCAAACAGCTATTGATTTTCAGTTTTACCACATTAAGCTGGAGGTCAAGCATCTCAGTTACTTAGATATGACAGATTTCTGGCTTTTAGCCTACGATTTCCTGTTATCTGGTGTCTCTTTCCCATTCACTGCAAGTCAAGACAGGCCAGAATCACCATCAGCTTCCATTTCTGTTACTCTCAATGCCAGTGTGTGATAGAAGAACACAGGAGAGTGCTTCAAGTGAAACATTCCAAGTCTCTCCACAAAGTCTCTCTAGCTGTCACCGCAGCAATCTCACATACAGTTTGTCATTCCTTTGTTTTTTTTGGTGGAAGTTGCTCTCAAAAGCTTGCTGTCATTCACTCCAGAATGTTTGCTGATGTACATAGACAATGACCCTTTCCACTCTCTCTTCAGTGTTTTCTATCATCATATTTATGACTAAAGGGAAAGCTTTTCTCTAAGTAGGGTCAACAAAAGGTAATACTTCTTAAAGCATTTGCATAGCATGAAGTATTTTGGGGTTTAAGCCCACTCTGGTTTTTGTTCGTATTTGTTGGGAGGTTTTTTTAATACATCTAAATAACCAATATTTTTACTTCTGGGTTTTGCTTTAAGATATCTTTAGACTTTCAGGGATCAAACTTTTCCTAAAAGGATAACAATTTTTTGGTGTAGAAATAAACTAGATTAATATATTTTATACTATAAGAACAGAACTCCAGCACCACTAGTCTAAAGAATAATATTTCATTGTTCCTAACTCACTTCAAAAGACATACCTGTTATCTATCTCAACAGTTGTGGTCCAGTCAGCCAGTGTTGGTTCTTTCCCACTTTGCTTCCATGTGTACAAGATAATCTTCCCATTCTCTAAGCCTACTGCAACAATGTATCTATCAAGAGAATAATTACATTAATTTCATTAGAAATTACAGTAGACAGCTCAGTGAGGTCAGTTCTAATGCAGAACAGAAAGAACTAGCAGTCAAGCACTGTTGTTGCACCTTGCCCTTTAAATCTTTAAATTTACTTTTCCATGAAAAAAATTAATACATCACAGCTGCTTCACAAAAAAACCCAAAAAAACAGCAAAGCAGAAACCTGCTACATATATTTGGTTAGGGAAAAATAATAAAGTTATCACAACACCAGATTAGTCAATATTGTTGGAAGAATTAATGTCTTTCAGTGTCATAATGTGTCTCTCCCCTCTCCCACTTTCATTTTCTCATTACACTGCTTGGAGAAGTCACCATATACCTGAAAAGATAGCTAGGAGAGAAAAAAAAGTAAGGTCATTCTGTTAAAGAATGGTCAAAACAACTGACAGGTAGATTTTGGGAGCTGTTTAGCCACAGGAAACTAGTTGACTTAAAGGGATAAATACTTATTTCAGATTAAACACAAAATGAGATTACAAAAAACAGCAATACCTTCCATCAGGAGTAAGCACACTGCTGATACCAACAGCAGTCACAGAATCCCCAGCATCCAGAATTGTTGAACAAGGCTTGATTGAAACCAGCTCATTCCCTTCAGTAATCACTGACAAATCACACTGGCCCCAGATAATGACCTGTAAGAAAAAGAGTCCTCTGTGAACTTCCACTTTAATCTTCTTGTAAATGCACATACAAAAACATAAGGAATTAACTTAATTAAAATAATTCCAGGGCACAGTGGATGACCCTAAAAATGGAAAAAAAAATCTCTACCTACAAAGATTCAACTTTGTAGGCAGACCGTCTGATTTCATTAAAGTTACTGACAACAAAACCAGATTCTGTTATGAAAGTTAAAGAAAAACTTGAGACCCATAGAATTATGCGACATATGCTTGTCTTACTGCATGAAAAAACCAAGTGAGAATGTCCAACTGGCAGCCCACAGTCTTGCATATACATATTCAAGCACTTTATTTAGCTTATGAAAGTATCACTGATTTCTGTGTTAATATATGCAATAAGATTTTTGTGTATATATAAAATAGGGGCTCATTAGAACACAGTGTTTGTTATTCTAAAAGACATTTAAAATAACTCTGGGCTTCCTAAATTCCTTTAACATTAATTACCTTTTTGTCCCGACTACCAGTAATAAAATACTTGCTGTCTGGTGTCCAATCACAGGACCAAATGATTCGACTGTGAACAGCTGTATTTTTGTCTGTGTATGCACAGCAAGTGAAGATTGGTCCTGGAATAAAACAAGTAGAGTAAAAGCCTTGTTTCAATACTTTACATATTAAAAGTGATTGTTACTCTTACTTAACTCTATGTCAGAACTGCAAGGATACTTGGACATTATTCCACTCTCTTTAAAGCAACTAGGAATACTTAGGACTACACAAATATTTTTTTCCCAGCATTTACCACAGCAATAACTAGCACCTGCTCATGACCATATCAGTAATCCCTTATAACCCTAAAACAGTAGGAACAGTTCAATCTTTTAAATGCATTTCTTTTTCAGAAGAATTTAAGTCCAAGTATAACATCTTCAGGTTATTTCTATCAAGTTTTTTTAAGAACACTGACTTCAGAAGTTTTGGAATAGTGCAACATTTACCATGTGTTCACATTTCCCCAGTAATTTCACTAAAGCTCCCATTTACCAGTAAAGCCACAACTGCTCAAAATCATAATGGCCCAGTTGTAAAGATAAACATGTTCCCAAAGAGACAAGCTTGTATTTCAGCATGTATACAATCAGGCACTAAATCTGATCAGCAGATCAGTAAATGGGAATGCTTTTCCTAAGTAGAAAAGGTTGTCATTTTGGAGCATAGACTTTGAATAACCACTTCTTGGGATGCCAATAGCAGCAGTTTTGCTTTACACTGATAATGATGTTATTTGTAGACAGAAGGGTCATTGACGAACAGATGAAAAGAGGATTTCCTCTACTTGCTATGAGTATTCATGATCCTTATCCTGAAACATTGTGTAACTACTGTGGACAGTATGCCAGGCTTTAGAACAGAAGTCTGAATAGAATAGAAATCAAGCCAGGATACAACTGGACACTGTCTAAAGGGGCCAAAACTCACTGCCAAGTCTCTAGGAACATTCTATAGAGCCCAGCAGTGTTTATATGCTATTAAGCCAAGAGTGCAATGATAATCGCTTTCAGCACAAGCATCTGTTCTAGGATTCTATTAAAGTATTCAATAGCAATCTCCTCATGATTTCGCAAGCCTCAAAGTCTTAATGAGGAAGTCAACTGAATCCTTACTATCAGCTCTTTTTCCAGACATAGCCAGTCCTAGTCAAATTAATCAATTGTGCAGGATTATCAGAAAGCCACACCAAAGACAGAGATTAATCCTGTCAAGAGTCTCAAAGTGTCATGCCATGCAAGCAGGGACAAGGCAGCCCATGCTGGATATGGGTGCAGCACTGAACCTTCTGGCTACGCCTGCACAGAACTCTGTGATGAAGGCTCTCCTTGACAGAATGCCAATCTGAAGTTCAGCTTGTATACTTAATTTCAGTAAGTCAAATGTACAATCACATGCAGAAGGCATGAGGACAGCAGACTTCATTACATCCATCAATTAAACACCATCTAAAGCCTGATTATATTCTTCCCTGCATTATAATTTCCTATCTTTTCACACATTAATTGCATTTCTTAAATCCACAAGAGCTCACAACACTAATAATTCTTCAAAGTTGTAAGCAAAATGTCCATCAAAATATTATATTAATTCTCTTCCAAGTATTTTGCAGCCAAAAATACTGAACAAACTGCCAAGTCTACAAATGTGTATATCCACTTCACGTATCTTACCTGACTCTGATGAATCTTGTTTCCTCCACAGTGACCAATTCCTGTCTCTAGAAACAGCCAGTAGAAAGCTGTCATCAGGAGAAAATGCCAGCTGAGTAACAGTCAGATTGTGAAAAGACAAACTCTGCAGTTTCTTCCAAGAAGTAGTGCTCCATAAAATAATTGCTGCATGTTCTTTTTTGGAAGCCTGTATGGATGGAAAAAAATATCAGTGCGAATTAACGAGAGCAAGTACAAAAGTCACACATTTCAAAGCACTAAGGTATTAGACAGCTTGTTTTAAGGCTTGCAATTAAATAAGACACAGCTTTCCTCTGGGAAGTTTCAACATTGTTTCCCTACTTTCCTCTAATGCTGACAATAAATCAGTAAGAAAACATTTCAGACCTATATTGGTTAGAAGTTACTAATATCATCAAATGAATCATACACAATTTAGGAATAATAACTTACTGGAAATCCACCCTCACCTTTGCAAGGCAACTGTCACTTATACAAAATCTTTCATGTTTTGTGAAACAAGATACTTCAGCCCTAGAAACTGGATAGCACTTTTCACTAGGTGGTGCTAGAAACTTTTCTTACCTTACATGCTGAGGCAATTACAGTGTTTGAATTATTGCAAGCAACACAAAAAATTTCATATCCATGTCCATATCTGAAATAGATGTGAAAATAAATTTAACACATCACAGTAATTTCTGCAGTACGTATCAAAGTTGTGATATCGATTTAAATCCCTTTTCAGAAACAAAAGGCACCTGCCAGGAACTTCTCACCACTGATTCAGTATTACATCTCAAATAATTTGTTCAGCTTTCAGTTTAAACTTCTGCACAAATTCTTCCATTAAAAACTGGCTATAGAAAAATCTCTCCAGCTCATGCCGTAGTCCTAAAGCATCAGCACTGCAAAAGCTACCCTAATGACTAACAAAGCAGATTAAAGCAGCATTTAATGTATCCTTATTTTTTTAAAAAGCAATTTTAACACTCCCAATAAAAATCGTAAGTCACATATCTGAAAACCACTGAAGAAATATGCCACAAACATGCAGTGAAACGATGCCTAGTCTGTAAAATACTGCAAGATTTCTGAACTAAAGGACAAGTATCATTTTGGAAAAGGAAAAAAACCTCTGTAAAACCCCCAAAATTTCTAGCCTTCTCCAGAAATACATTTTTTAATCAGTCTTTGCATGAGCTCTGCTGAAATCCAAGCTCACATATCCAGACCAGTTTTTAACTAATAAGGAGAAATTCCATACAGATTAACACAAATTAAAATCAGTCACAAGAAAGACTGCAAGTAAAGTAGAATTGGAGATGCAACCTATAAACAGAAGACAAGAATCAGCTCAATACCAGCTGGGTGGGGTGGTTTCCTATTATTTTCCTAGTTCTGAAGAGATGGGCAGTTCTCTTAAATTCCTTTGGTCAGGGTCTGATGTTCATGAGATTTCACTTGCAGCCAGAACAGCCATCTACCTAATGACAAGTTACTGTCTGGAACTGTTGAACCAAGCCCGAAGCATTGTCGCTGGGCATATCCCATCAACAGACTGCCAAAGCCACGCCTGAAGACTGGAAATGCACTGGCTTTCATGAAATGTAACTGTGCCTGGACCATTTAACAGGGAGAGAGACTGGTGTGTACCACTAATGGAAATGTTAAGTTGTGAATTTCCTTATAATGATGAAGGTACTACTGCATATCTTACTCTTAATTTGCCACCAGCATGTGTTTTATCATAATGCTTACTTTTAAAGCACATTCCTGGAGACTGTTTTGTAGTGAAAACCACTGCAAGCCAATTTTCTAAAATTAAAAAATATTTATTGTATCAAAAGAATAAATTTCCTAAAATTCAATGATGGGAAAATAACCTGTGAAACAAGTCCTCAGTTGTTTTGGTTTTAATCTCCTAAAAGTAGTATTGAAGGGCAGTTGATAGAAACATTTCAAACTTCTGCATGCAATGCTTCTTTTGCTAAACAGCAGTGCCAACATGTAACCATTCTTATTAAATTAACAGAAAACATAAAATGTTGTCTCTTTTAAAGTTACATCAGCAGGACTATCCTAGGTCAGACCAGCAGCTGTATAGCCCATTGCTGTCTCCAGTAAAGAGAATTAAGCTATTTGAAACAGGAGATGCTGTCTCAAAACACCATCTATAAGCCTTGACAACATAAGAGCTACAATACAGTCCCATCCTCTGATAAACAAAATCTGATTTCTTCACTATGTAGTACACCACCAAATAAAGGTGCACAATGGAGAGAAGCAACTGCATGAATGAATAATGAAATTATATTTTCAACCACAGACAATTTTGCCTCAGCACTGTACAATTCATTGCACTTTTTTAATGAACAGGTAGAGTGACTGGACTTTCAAGCATCCAGACAAATGAATACCGTAATTTGCTAGTGTCAAAAAGGATCTCTTCCAACTTCCAAGTGAAATGTACATACATATAAACATATACATTATGTCAACACTCAACATGCTGCATATGAACTTTCTATGATAATTTTCCAAGGCGATAAAGATTAGCATATTCTCACAAAATTTACCATATTTTTAAAGTTATTATATTATATAAAAAATTCAGCAAGTTCTTCATACTAAAACCTCCTCAAGCAAACACTTTGCAAAACCCAACACTAATCCTTCAAAATTTGGTGTCAATTTAGAGCTAGGAACACACAAATGTCAATGACAAACAAGCTATTTTTAGCAAGTCAGTGCCTCACACTGTTCTTCTGCTGCTATGGCAACTTGAAATCTACATTATGTGATTTTATGTTACTTCTTTCAGGATTACTCTGAGCAAAAAATCTGAAAGTCTATGAATGCTTTACATCTTGTTGCTCTTGCATAAAATAATCTGTATCATTAGCTGTGTTTCTAAAAACAGAAAAAATTGCTCAGATAAAAGTCATCTGAAGACTGTCATAAAATGGAGTTATTTTAATGAATGCAGGATATAAAGGCAGATAAGCAGTACTCCCATAGCAGAGTATAAAATATTTATGTCCCACTAGACTTTGTGGAATGTCAAAGGCAAATGAAGAATTTTCGCCTTGGCTTCTTTTCACTATTTAAACATCCCTTATCAGTCTACTTATGTGAGTGCATTAGCAGCCATAGAATGCACAGACAAAACAGTTAAAGTAACAGTTAGAAATTACAAAATGTGCAGATATGGTTTAACATCCACTGGCTTTCCTCCTAAAATCATTTTTTAGTACAAACACAGTAACAGAGCTTAAAAGCATTCAAAGCAGATTTTCTGCCCAGTTGAAGGCAAAGATGCTATCCCACAGAACTTCCCCCTTGGTCAACAGAAAACAAGCTGCATAGTGTTTTCCCAAAACTTTTTATTTTCTCCCTCACAAAACTGGTAATGTATAGAAGTAGCTGTAACCATCAGCAAAGGCTCAATATTCTTGTTCCAGTCTGAGATCCCTTTCAGGAGATTCACATGAATAAACCCACAAGAGATTGAGATCATTCAATTTCTTTGTGCTATACTTTGAAGATTGATACTAAAACTTTGAAGATTGTAAAAGTATAGCCTCATGTTACTGGGATCCTTAGGGAACAAATCAGGTGACAAAATTCATGCGAAAATTGTTGTGAATTTCCAAAAAGGAAGAAAACACAGCTGCAGAATTCTAAAACCCTGCAACCTCAAAACAATTATCATGCCCACATAAATCCATTATCTTTGCAACTGACAACCACTCTGTCAGCATTCAATACCCAAACTGGGTTTGTAACCGTCTTACTCAACATTTATCACTTTGCTCTACCACTAGACACACATCCTGGTTTGGCTGCTGCTTCCATCTGTTGCACCTTACAACTCTGACTGGCATTAGGGGCAAGCTCCTCCATTGATGCCTCAGCCTCTACTTCCATACCACATCTGCAAGCCTGTGCCATGAAGTGGAACGCAGCAGAAAACTCCTTACACAGAGAGACTTTCATTATAGAAGAGGTTTTAAGGAGAAACAACCAAGTAAAATAAAATTGTGACACATCAGTTCTAACTGCCATTTTTTTCACTGTTTACTAATTTATATATATAGATAATTTATTTATTTTACAAGCAATACAGCACACACAAAACCAAATGACATAGCAAAATAGGAAGAGTTACAAGACCAGGCTACACTAACATGTTGCAACAGCTTTCTGGAAATTTTGTAAAATCAAGAAAAGGAAAAATAAAACTTACAACTTCTGAATTTCAGGCCATAAGGTATTCTGCAGCAAGTGATCCTCTGGTGGAGGTTCTAAAAAAGATTTGTACAATTCAAATTTGATTTTTTCAAATCAGCTAAAAAATGCTCTAGGTTTATAGCCAATGAACCTCATTCTCTGTTTCCTACAACAGAAATTATTCTCATACCTGTAAGGATCAAGGGTTGAAAATAAATCTCTGGATACTGATTTGAAACGGTATTAAATGATTCCTCATCTTCATCTGGTTGAACGGCCATATCTCCTATTAAAGTAAGAACTTCATTAGCTAAAGAACATACTTGAAAAGAGGGAAAATATAAGGACTTATTATACAAGTAAAAAATACCTACATTTTTTACAAGCAGTTGAAACTAGGTTTCTCTGCTTGCAGAGTTACAATAATATAAATACTAGAAGCTAATTATTCTAATGTATATGAGAAGATTTTTAAAAAATAACAATCTAACCTTCATTTTAACACTGACCTCTCTCCATCAGCACAATCTTTTAGAGATTGCTAAAAAGAATTTCGCTGAGCAAAGCAGTCATCAGAGTTCAACCTGTTTCCCCCATGTTAAATCTTTCCTTCTGTATTTGAAAAAGTTTAAGACAAAAATCTCTGATACAAGTGATGAGCTCCTAAATTTGATGCAGATCACTAAGTGAAAACCCGTATCTGAGCAAGTGTATCTACAACTTGCAAACTTCTGCACATCTGAGGGCTCAGTCCTTAGCTTTAGGCAAAAGTACCAGAGGTAACCAAAACTAGTTAATTGTAAGTTAAAATTCAACTCCGTCCTTCATTGTAAAGTTATTAAGAAAAAGGTATAGAGATGGGGAACAGTTCCTCTCAGACGGAATCTACCTTTTTGCCAAATATACATCTCAAGCACAGCAGTTTCAAAAAGAAAATTCAGAAAAAGCTATCTTCTCATTCATCCCATCTTTGCTCTCTTTGAAAATGAAATGAGCAACATTCATCTGAGACCACTATCTGATCATGGCTCACCATGAAGATTCCTCTGCAGAGTAAAAGAGAATATGTCTGCAGTGTTTTACCCTAAGCCATCAACGCTGACAGCCCCACATGAGCAGTGGTGGATGATGCAGGAAAGTTCTATTCATGGTGCTGCTTCTGGTTGGACCACATGAAATCAATGCAAATTCATTATTCTGTGTGTGGCAATAATGTAGAAGGAAGTTTTGTTCCCTCTCATTGGAAGAACTCATGAGAAAGCAGGGGAAACAATCTTTGCCAAAATATATCTCACAAGTTATTTGAAGTACAACAAAGTTGGTTTTTCTCTCACAAATGATTTAGGAAAATTTGGCTTATTGCCATTGAAGACCCTGGAGACAAAGCTTATTAAAATGTTTCCTTTTGTAGATCATACCTTCTGAAAAGCTTTAAACAGAGAAAAAACAGGTCTGACCTAATTTGTACATTCCACTATAGTGCATTTTTACCAGAGACTTTATGGAAAACCAGACCTCTAGTCTCATTCCCAGTCTCAGGAAAATACTTTTTATCATTCTAGGGAGATGTCTGTCCCTCCTTCCTTGCTCTCCCACAATGTAATCTGCTGCCTCTCCAAGATATTAGTTACTGTTGCCTAACTAATTCTGCCTTACTCCTGTTTTTACTTTTAAGCACCATGTTTAGGTGCTAGCAAAGAAATAAACACTTTGTATGATTTGATTTCTAGATTCTGAACTTGCTACAGTTGAGCCTACACTTATAGACCTAATATGTACATTAAAACAATCCCTTAAATAGTTTCCACATGAAACACCACAACCATAGTTTCTCACTAGCAATACCTTCAAAAACAGCTTTATTGGATAATCCCAAAGCTGGCACAGTTGCACCTTCTGGAAGGTCAGATGACTCCTGAATTAAAGAAAAAGAATAAAGGTTACACACAGATTGTCACATAGGCTTGGATTTCAGAGGCCACAGCTTAAGGAATCCCTGAGAGTTTCTAGAGTTACTTTCCTAGAGAAGTGAAGGGAGCACTTTGAAAATCTCTTGTCCAGAACATACCCTGGACAAAACAAAGACCAGTACTCTGGAAGGAAGGAAGGAAAAAAAAAAAAAAACAAAAACAAATATAATGCTTTTCTAAGGCCCCAGCTCAAGGATTTTCTTCAATGCTAATTGCAGGTTTTCTTCCACAATTATATTCATTCTAGCACATACATGACAATTAATCTATTAACTGAGAGCACTGCAGTTCTTAACACAATAGAACTGGGAAATCATTGTTCTGAAGTGAAATAATAAAGCAGCATTTTGAAAAAGAGAACAGAGGGTGACTGCCTGTGACCACGACTTGAAACACAACTCAGTAAATAGTACAGAGATGTGTCTGGAATACGTGTCTGTTTAAAGGAGCACAAGGGAAAGACAAATCATCAGACAGAAAATAGCTCTATAATGGTATAGGGAAAAGAGCAAAAATTTAGAAAGGGTAAGTGAACTTGGGGTCCTTTGCGTAGAGATAAAATAAATATTTAATAGCTGTAAACTCACTTCCTTATGGTATCATAAAAGTTGAAAGAAAGGCTGTTTTACAGAATCAAATCAATATTTTAGGTGACAGTTTAAAATGTATTTAAATGTTCATAATTAGATGAGAAAATGTATCAGAGACCCAGACAAGCATAAGGCCTCTAAAACAAAAATTGGTTCCTCATTACAACCCAAAGTATAATACAATCCCATGGATTTGAACTGAATATAAACCTATTCAACCCTTTTTGAATATAAAGCTGTTTTTTGGTTTCAGGTACTTTTTTGGAGAAGGCATTTAAGCCAAATTAAAAAAAAGCTTTCCCACTTCAGTGATAAAAAGCTTTCTCAGAAAACAATTTTAAGAAAGCTATTTAAAAACAGCTGTATAATTAGAGCTCATAAAGCCTTCCTCTTTAACCAAAGCCCATCTGAAACACTTTGTGATATGAATCAAAAAACAGCACTCAGAGGAAGAGTCGATAAGAAAAGTCTATATAAAGTGAAATAATGACATCTGCCAGCCTTATAAAAGCACAATGTTATTTGTACAATCATCATTAATGCAAATGCTTACAAAGTCTTATGGAATTAAAGCACTAAACAGCTACTTACATAACTTCCTGCCATTGACAATAATTCTATTTCTATCCCAGATATTTCAATTGTTAAATTAAATGGAAAGGCTAATCCATCTCTGAGAAACTGCACAGAAAACCCTGCTTTTGAATGAGATATCCAAAGAGCACGCAAAGTACTGTACAGAGGCAACTATCTTGAATGAGATCTGTTCTACAAGATGCAGCCAAAATTAGAATTAGACCTTAATGCAAATGGGGAGCAAAGAAAGGATAGCAACACAGGACAGTTGACATACCCACAAATAAGAATTGGAATGTAAAGGCCTCAAGAAGATTTCCAATGCCAAGAGGACATAAAGTATGAACAAGTACATATTTATAAATATTTGTGTGTAAGAACTAAAAATAGTGCCAAAAGTTTTATGCTATTTCCAAGCATGCAATAACAAAAAGAAAATAGTAATACCAACACATAACCACACAACAATAATTAGATCTAGACAAGACTGCAACACTCCTAAATTAAGGGAAAACACTTTAACAGGTTTTGTTGTTTGCTTGATCCCCAAGTGCATACAGCAGTCTACCTTGGTTTGAGTTACTTAAAATGTACTGACACTCCTTTTAATCTTCTGACACAAGGTCTTGTTTGGTTACAAAGAGCATCTGTTTCATATGACACCACCATAAAAATATATATGGAACAACACACATGGAAGCAAGCAAAAGGGAAAGGGAAAATAAGGTTATGGTTTCAGTATGACCAAAAGAATTTTTACAAAGTTTAGTGCAACCTGACATTTTCTGAAGCATTAACTTATTTCACATCTAAGAGGGTTCTCTTCATTTAGCATTGCTTCAGCATACTTACATGGGAGCAGAGCTTCTCCATTGGGATACCAGTGATGTTACTGAAATTCTCTATAAAATTCTTGGGAGCACGAAAAACTCGAAGGACTTTTTCATCTGCTCCTGTCACAAACTCAAACCGGCCAATCATTGCCAGGCAGCGCAGGTCATATCCATGTACTTGAGGCCTGGCAATTTCATGCCAGGTTACCTAAAAATGAGCAGACATACAGCTAAAACACAATTCTTAAACAGAGCAGCAGTTCAACTTAAAGTTCAAAAAAAGCACCACTACTTGCTGAATTTATTAACATAAAGCAAAGGTAGGTGCAACCTTCTGATGCACATAACACTGGTGCTCATGTACCTCGGTTGAATCCTCTTCCACCAAACCATTCCTGTAATTAGCAAACTGTGTCCCTGCACAGATGTGTTTAAGGCACTTACTGTGACTTCTTTATGCTAGACAGTCAGGAATAGGACATAATTTGCCTAAGCAAAAAGAGGTTTGTATCCTACTACTTTCAAGACTGTAGGTAAGAAAGGTAGTGATAATTATCTTGCTTCCTTCATCTTTCTTTCACAAAGAACAGCAGCACTGCTGCCAGTAGGCTACAGGTTTCTACTTCCCTCTTTTCTTTAAATACTTGATTTAGGTGAAACCATTTAATAGAAGCTTTGCAAAAAACTGACAAAAAAAAAAATCTGGAAAATCTGGGTAATTGTAGGAGTGTTTTCTTTTTTTCTACTTTCCTAAAATATTCTATCCACTCTTCAAGTGTTAATCCAAGTAAACAAGAATTAACAGTTAACCAAAACAGAGACAAGATAGTTTTACAGTCATATTAAATAAAGAATATTAGCAAAAAATATATTGAATTATTTTAATTGCTTTTCTAAAAATCTGACTTACTCTACACATAAGAAAAATGACTCTTAAAAAAAAACAAACATTTATTTTCTAGCAAATGTGTTTTCACGAAGAGATTTTTCCTAGGCGTCATTTGCTACTTCACCCAGATGATACTTCAGTTGGAAAAATCCAGTGTGTACTTCTGAGTTAAGAGCTAGCAGAACCAGAATTAATTGAAATAACTTAGACTACTTCAGTATTCCAATGCCTGTAGCCAAGACAAGGTATCATATGAATATAAGCAAAAGCATTATATTGCCTGTAAACTGTACATGCCACCCGAAAAATTCAATTGAGTTTTGAATGTTGAAGTTTCTGACAGGGCCTGAATGGGAATTTGAGACATCCTACAAAACCTCATGATTTCACAAGGCCTGATTATTTTTCAGTGAGGAAAAAAAACATTCATTCTTTAAAAAAAGTTAAAATCAAACAGTGCAACAAAACCCTCTTACCCTTTGCTGGGTACATCTTTGCATACAATACAACACATAGCAAGAATGAAAAAAACACAAAAAATTCAAACCCCAAAAAGAGGGTTGTGTAAGTCATGCAATAAGCTTCTTCTGGAAAAATCAGGATGCAAATTTGCATGGCAAATTGAAGCTGATGGTTATCCCTCTTTTCTAATATTCTGATATCAGAACTGAGACTTTAAGAAAGGATGCTTATTTGTATTCAACACTTAGTTTCCTTTTAATAGGGAAAAACATTAATATTGAGCTGTAATACTAACTTTCCATAAATATCTGAACTGAATCCATTGTGCCTTGTTAAGACAAACTTTAGATGTCACCTGTTGTAATTTTTCAGACGCTAAACTCAGTGTGATAAAGAAACTAAGACATTTTAAAAGCCTGTTATCTAAGTTCATGAGCAGCAGAAGTAAAAACCTTCCCCGGGTTCAGAAGTCCTGAATAAACCTCTACAAATGACCCATTTCTATTCCAACTCTCCACTTCACCCATCCAAAAATTATACTAAGGCTTTCTCCCACACCTCAGGCAGCAGCAAATATTTAAACTACTTAGATTTACACCTGGGCAAATAAGCTGTGTCAGAACAGGAAGGCAAAGTATAAGAATTCAGTTCATGCCAAATTTCGATATGAAGACCGCAATCATTCTGCTAAATCAATTGATTTAAAAGTTTCAGGGCAAGCTGTGCAGGTAAATCATACAAAGATCAATTCTTTCTAAAGATAGGATTAAAATTTAGCAAGCAGCATACATAATAAAAAGTGGTACTTCAGTAGGTCACAGAGAAAGTGATATTGACAACTCTTGAATACTGACAACTTACACCACATGCTAGTCCTGAACTTTGTTTCAATATATTTAATGCACCCTCCTGAGTGAAGATTAGGATAAAAACCAGGGAAGGAAACTGGAAATGTCCTTCCTACAACACAAGGCAAAGCATAGCTCTTGAGCTTGAATTACCACCACTCCTGTGGCCTGGAAGAAGGAAACCAAAGAACTGATGCCAAATTCACTCTCTCAAAAACATCAGACTTCTTGTGCTGGTCTACACTACAGAAGCTTTGATGAGACAGCTATAATAGCTTCCCCCAGTCGATGGCACAGGGCCTTATATGACTACAGTCTAGTTTCTGCCAGTTTCCTGAATGGAACATTGGTACTGTTCTGCCAGAAAAGGTTGTATTTGTTGAGGAGGAAAATGCATGAGGAACAAGAAACAGGAACTTCTGAATTCCTATACAGACTTCCCCCCAACCCAATGCAGGAGGAGTGAGCAAACCACTGTGTGGTCCTTAGTTGCTGGCTGTGGGTAAAAACAGGGCAGGTACCAGCTGCACTCATGCAGTTCAGATAATCATTCTAGTAAAAGAGAGTCATTAACAAATTAATGTTAAAAATACAGTGAGAACTTTATTTAGATTATGTTCATGTAAAAAAGCACAACCAAAGCTGAGTTTCTTTATGATTACCTACAGCAGTGCAGCCAGTTGTTAAACACTGTAATAGGTGTTTATTAGTTCCAGTCATGTATTCCTCCTTCTGAATTACTGCAGAGCCTGTTTTCCAGGACTCTGGAAAAACACTAACTGACGGTAATCTGGACTTGGACTCAGGATTGAACTGCAATAATACTGTGTGACTGCAAAAACTCTGCCACTAATATTTTCAAAGTGAAAACAGCACACACTCAATTACCAAACCAAGCTGTTTTAAACAGATGATCACTTGGGGAACTTCTAAGGTTTGAGTTATAGTCAGACAACTCATTCCAAACTCAGGACTGACCAAGCCCCCTTAACTGCACTCACAAAATCTTTTAAGATCATACCTCCATCTCTTCTTTCCTTTTCCATGGAGCAAAGAGCCTCGTAGTTTGATCAAAGCCCACACTGATGATAAACTCTCCTTCTGGATCCCACTTTACATCCTCTACACTGTTAAAATGTCCTGAAATCACAACTTCTGGAGTCCATTCTTTCTATTAAAAGAGTTCCACAAAGAAGTAAGGAGTTTTTGATTGACACATTCTAAGCAAAACAGAAGTATCAATGTGCTTATTAAGAAAGGAAGAAAATTACATTTGTGAACAGCAAATTATTAGAACTCAAGAGAGGCTGAAGAGACACAAATACTGATGTATTGCTCCCATCTAAAAGAAACTTGTGTTGTGAGCTGTGAACAAAGCACAACCACAAAGGAGTTCAGTCTATTCAACTGACTTTATGATCCCCACAGGTAAAAAACAGGGTTTAGAGCCTTGGAGGATTTCCACCTCCCTTCTGTGCAGGAGTGAGACTCCTACAGAATATTTTATTCAGAAAAGGACTATTTCAATCACTAATTTAAAATTATACTGGTACACTTTTCTATTAATAACAGAAATTTACCTCAAATGACTTAAAAGTACAATTTTTTTAAGTAAGACTATTAACAAAAAAAACAACATACCTTATTAACAGTAGACTGTTTCCAAAGGTGTAGTGCTCCATGAAAAGCATGAGCAATGATCATTGAACCATCTGGACTAAACTGGCAGTCAAAAAATCCAAGAGTATTGCCACCCACTTCACCTACCCGTACCTAAATTAATGAAAATAAGTGAAATATCCATGAAAATGGCCTTCCATTCCTACAAAATAATTCTTACTTTATGAGATGAAAAACTACCTATAGACAAGATTTCACATTACACACACAAACACATTCAAAGAATATTTTAATTGAAAAGTTGAGAACTGAAAGGTCATGGGGATTAAAGCTGCATGCCAATCGAATGGAGCCTCCCTTCATAGACATCTCTAGATAGGATCCCGCAAGGGAAAGAAAACACTACATCAGATGAAGTGCAAACCCAAATGTTCTGTTTCAGTCCAGCCTGTTGGATGCAAGTTTCTTATCATCTGTTGCCTGGCTCTGTTGCACAATACAGGAAAATTATTCAAGGAAACCATAGCTCCCAATTACTTTTTTTTTCTTACTTAATTTCCAAGATTTCCTAGCTGATTTTCACTTCCCCATGAACACCTGCAATTTGATCTACACTCTTTCTGTGGCACATTCTGGCCTCTGTTTTGTGCTTCTCTTAAGACTTCTATGTATGCATGCCTACACACAGGCCTTCCAGTTGCTCTAGTGCCCTTCCACTTTTTAAATTTTATTAAAAGATTAATAAAGTTACATTTTCAAGTTCTATTTAAGACATAAGACCACAATTTCTTTCTCTTCCCCATTCTTATATAGCTTCTTTTAAGATCAAAATTAAATGAACCAATGTCCCATTTTAAATGGCACTGCACTAGCAGTTCCATTTTATTAGCAGTCATTCAACAAAAATACTACTCGAAGTGACTTTGATATGCCATGCTAGAGGCAGAATTCTAGTTTCACCCCCAAGCAGAGGGATGAATTTCTGAAGACATCTTGTTCATCATATCATGATGAAAGAGAGAAACTGGGATGTTCCCCTTGTGCCCTTCCTCCCTGCAGGCTTCCAGCTCAGATTTCCCTCTCTTGATGCAAAACGGATTTTCGCAGTTAAAATGTCTGATCTGAACTTGAAGCTTCACATTTGTGGTCAAACCAATGCAAAGAGAATGTAAAATTAAAGAATCACAACTTGAAACAAGCTTTATTGCACAACACATTTTTAGAAGCTTGTGAATTTAGCCACAACTGTGTTACACCTAGGGACATCAGATGGCATCTCTATGCGATTGCCCTTTTACGAACTAAATTCTACTTCAAGCAAAGACATCAGAACTTTTCAATGAAACAGAGGAAAAATTAAATACCCTACTGTAATTCTCGCTTTTTCACCCAAGAGATGACTGGAACTTTCTTTGTAATATAAAAGGTCACAAACAATGGCAGCATAACCCAACACAAACAACATCAACTGAACTACTGCAATTTGGAAAAGCGGGCCAGCTGAAAAAACATCAAAGCACTAGAGAAATCTGGTTGTACTGCTTGTTTATTTAGGATGATCCACATTAGAACAGCATTCAGAATACTACATGAGTGACACATGAGTATTCAGTTCAAACGGAAGAAAAATCTAATGACACAGCCAATGATCAAGTTACTGTGAGTAAAACCAGGCTTGTGAATTGCTTGTCAGCTGCTCTGTAGTAACTGCTTAGGTCACATTCCCACAAGGATGAACTGCAAATAGTTCAAGAGGGTTCCTTCTTCCTCTTACCAGGAGTACATATCATGTGTTACTATGCAGCTCCTGCCTTGTACTCTATGAATAACAGTTGAGCACAAACATCCCTACAAACTCCTCAGTATAACAATAAGAAATCAAGAAAGCAATAAAAATCATACTGTATCCCCTTTTTTTTAAACACAGTTTTATTCACAGCATAGCATTGGAATGAGTATTTTCGCAAGAAAACACTTTGCCTTTCTCTGCCAGAATTTTAGAGAGTTTTTGTTCCCTACAGTACACGCATGATGCTAGAAACATAACTTGAATACATTACATATTGTGAGTAAGACTGACACCTGCCTGTTCTAGCCAGACTCCAGATTCTTTATCAGGTTCCCAGATGATCACAGTTTTGTCCATTGATGCAGATAATATCCTCATTGGTTGTTGCATGCTGCCATCTACAGTACAAGGAAAATTATTACCCTACAACCTAGGAGCACATTTTCTAAAGAAATTAGGTAATTCTAAAATACAAACACATTAAAAAAATTGTTCAGCATCAGAGATATGCAATGCAGTTCTTATATGCCAAATTTACAGGCTCTACATTTTTGCCAGGCATTCTTTAGGAGATATTGTATTCTCAGCCATAATTACCCAAAGAAAAAGTAAAATATGTACATGAGAACAACCATATTCCACAGTTTTCTCATTCTGAACTTACAATGAATTAAATATAATTTGGAGGAAAAGCTAGGGTTTCACAAAGAGAATGCATAGCAGTTCTCAGTTCCGTTCCTTATGTTCTACTGAGTGATTTACAGTTTAAAATAATTACCCAATATTCACTGCGTGAGTTTTTTCCCCAAATTGTTTGGTTTGCTACTGACTTCAGCAGACTCTAGAACCCTGAAATACATACAGTAACTCAGGACTGCTGCCAAATATGCAGTGAAACACTCCAGAAAAGAGCCCAACACAGAACGGGAAAGAGGGAACTGGTTCATCACCAGTTGTGAAACCTGTAGGAAAACCACTGAAGAACTTTTCTTGCTAATAGAGATAGTGGCAGGCATCTCATGAGGTGATATGTTTGCAACAGATTTCCCACCCGACCTTCTGCACTGAGAATATGTCTCTCAGATCAGTTTGCCTCTAGTGAAATCTATTTTGGGGATCCCAGCATTGGGCAGGCCACAGAACACAAGCAGCCTCATGTATGTAGAAGCACCTGGAAAACTTCATGGTCTAACAGGACAGTTTTCAGATTGCCATGAAAGGCTGACAAGCCTACATTGTTCCTAAAACTTTTTCTAAAAGGCTAAATCTTTTACTGATGTCTAATTTAGAAAAAAAGAGAAAGGTTTAAGGACCAGATAACTAAACCAATATTTTTAAAGCAAGTCCTGTGTCTTTCACTATGTATTTTGACATTCTAATGGCATTCTGCTATTCAAGTGTTGTACATACACCAGCTAAGCTGTCCTTTGTACTGTTGAAGTCACCTGCCATCAGTAACTCTAAAATGCATTAGAAAAAAAAGACATCTTTGCCAGTACAAATATTCAAGGGTGTTCTGATTGTGCAATGTCAAATCAAGAATCTCCTTGCCTTATATGCCAAGTAGACACATAACAGTAAATCAATACTGCAAACAAGTCTGTCAGAATTTAAGGATTTCTAAAGAAAGATTAATACTAGAGCAAAATGCAAAACTAAACTATAAATAACACTGCTTCAATGGGAGTCTGCACTAATGCCTTAAAGTTACACGCTGGAGAAAACTGACACTGCAGGAATCGACACCACTAAAAAGAAACGAGAGCTCTTGAGGTAATGCTTACCTTCTGAAGAACAGATATTTCAAATGCATGTATCAAGGTAACCTATTAGCGCTATTAATTCATACTGGTTAATTACATTAATTTGTACACCATAACCAACACATCAATTGCAATAAAATCTTTACAGCTCTGTTTTTTATTTTCATTCCTTAAAGAAAACATGAGTACAAGGCAACATCTGTTTACTCATAAAACATTACTTGCAGAATTTAAAGACTGTCATTGTCTACAGGAACCAGCAAACATGCAAACATAATACAGAGACACGTGACTGTACCCTATGTATAGGACACTTAACATTGCTGATGTGTTTGATATCTTCTTACCTTTGGAAAATGAAGGTTGCCAGTGAACTGCATACACCCAGTTTTCATGACCAGCCAACACAGACTCCAAAGAAACTGCATATGACATGTCACCATCTACCACAAACCAGAGAAAAACATATTTCTTTCTAAAAGCCAAGAAAGACCAGGTAATTTCTGATATCTTTAGTAAAAATAAACAACTGCTTTCAACATTTACCGATATCTCAAAAGCTTCCCGACACTGAACAGCTCCTTGAAACTCTACTTTGGCACAAGCCCTGAGTACTAGATTGATGATCACAGGTCAGTGTATTGCCTCAGAGGGGTCCCTCACAATCCCTAGAGAACTCTCAAGCAGCATCGAAATAAGTGCTCTAAACTGGCACTATGCATATTCTTACGTATATTTGTGTCTCCAAATGACTGAAAACACAAGCATTAAGATACTTCAAACAATGAATCAGGATTTGCAGGAGGTATCATGAGCACTTTTTACACATAGTATCATATACACTTCAATATATTAACTAGGTTGCTGAACAATTTATCCTACAATGTCAGCAATGCAAGAATCTGATGTTACCGTGCTTAAACAGCTTGTTAAATGACCATAAAGTAAGCCTGCACATACTCATCTGTTCTTTCCATTATGTTTCTAACAGCACCTCTTAATTCATTGAGCTAGAAAGAAAATTAAAGGTAAGCTATTAAACTGGAGAACTACACAACAGCTTCTCTCCCACAGACAAATAAGTGTCCTACACATTGCATTTGGAATATGCATGACAATAACAGCTCATGTTGGTATTAAGCTCCCTCACTGCTTTATCATTTCTTGTAATACATCATTAACTTTTGGCTTTAAAACAGTAATTCTGCTATTTTAACAGCTAAAAATAGTGCAGTCAACACAAAACAAATCAATCTAGGTGGTAACCACCTTGTCAGCCTCCCTGGAACCATGAAAAAATACACACATGAAAAGTTGTGCCAGAGAATTTTACTGCTGTTACCTACCTTTAACAGTAAAAACATTCTCTTTCAATTTTATGGAATCATCTTCAGCTTCTGAAGGTTTCTTTAGTTTTGTACATACTTTCCAAATTCTTATCAAACAGTCCTGAGCACAGCTTGCTAAGAAAAGGTCTTCACCTTTTTGTTAGCAGAAAAAGAAAAAATAAAAAAAAATAGAATTACATTTTCATTGCAACCACTGCCATGATTAACCTACCATCTTTCTATACACGCACCTAACAGCATTATCCCAATTTTTCCTACTGTACACAGTATCATAAAAAAAATCCACTGTTTTATTTCAAGATCAATTAAATTTGCCACTCAAATTCTCTATTATTTTATAATGCACTATAAACATGTTCCTGCTTGTAAGATGCGGAAGATATGGTAAGCACTGTGTATGTTATACTTCCCTACTATTTATGGCCTTTGCTTTTGGAATTCTATCAGTCTCAATACTTGTCAAAATCTCCTTTCATCCTTTTCTTTCTCCATGTTTGTATCATCCTCCAATTTAATTTTTTTTGTGTGTGCCACTGCAATAACTATTTGATTAGTCGATGTCTGAAAAGATTCTCCTCTTAATTTCCCGATTAAAAAAAAAAAAGGGGGGAGGGGGGGAAGCAGGAAAAGATAAACATACTATCTCCCCCTACTTTCCACACTTTGAAAAAGCCAACTCTTCTTCACTCAGATAAAGACATTTGTCTATTGAAAATGACGAGTTGCTAAAATACCAATTTGTTTGCATTTACCAGCCAGGTAAACATACTTGAAACAAGCAAAAAACATGTTTTAAAATTATATAAAGTTTTATCTTGATTTTTAATATTAACTACCACCATCTAAGAAAAACAAACATCACAACCGAAAAGCTCAGGTGCTACAGTGCATCAAAGTCATATTTTGGAGGGGTAAAACACTAGTACTGCCATTAAACCACTATTCCACCTCATTAGTCTTTCATACTGACCACAGACTGCCCACTCAACGCCTCTTATCCAATCTTCATGGCCAGAGAGTATTAATGTTTTCTGAAACTGAATAAAAACTCCTGTTATATCAGAGAAAACCACCTAATTACCATGCACATACCAGCAATAAGTTTTTTGGTTTTTTTCCAAGTCTTTTATATTTATAGCTTCTATTATTTGAAACAGGGAAAAAAAATAAGCCACTACTAAGGACTGTAATTTACACACAGATACAAGATGAGCATTTTTGGTTTTGCCACCATTGGATAAGCACATGTAACATTATGGCACTTCCTACATAGGAGCAGGAAAGGATGTGAATTTAAGGTGCACACCTTCAAGAGGCTACAGTCTCTCTATGACAAATTTGATTTTTTTTAAAGTTTATCAGGCTTACTGTGGTACACAAAGAGTAACAATGCAAATTTGACCTGACAAGTAATTTCTCGTATTTGTGTGAAGTGGATGCAACTGCAGAGGATGAAGAAAATGAATACAGGTAAAATCAATTATAAAAAGAAGAGCAAATGCTTTGAAATTATTTCAAGAATAAATTTGTAATATGTAATAGAATGTAATTCTATGTAATAGAATATGATTAATAAGAATCAGTTATGGTACTGGAAATATTCTCTATGTTTCTTAAGTTTATTGACAAAATTTCTAAGAAAGCTACACATCAAGAACTGCTGATGGAAAACTCTGCGGGAACACAGGATCAGGAACACCTGAATGAGAACACAGCATGGACTCCCTTTTAAGAACTTTTACTATTAATTAATTTTCATTTATAATATATGTAATATTTCCAGTTTATTGTGATTCAAGTACAACTATTTACTCCTTACTTAAAATTTAACCCATTTCTGCTTTTCTTTGCCCAGAAACAGCCCTACTTCCATGACATTTTTTTATTCCAAGTTGAATTTTAATGCATGAAGTAACTGCTACAGTTAAAACACTAGTGTAATTTAGTATGAATAACTCATCACATTATTTCTGGCATTATATTCTACTAAATCCCTTACCTAGGCCTACTTAGAGCTACGACTAAATGACAGCCACTGCTACCAGCACAAGTCTGCAACTGAGGTCTCTCTTCCAATGCATGACAGGGAAAAAAAATAAAGGAAAAATTTGTATGTATATGAAAACTCCATACTCAGGAATTGGTACCTCTCTCTTTGATCCAACATTTCTGATATTCTCCAAAACAACCTTCCCATCAAAAAATATTACTCTGCCTCTCCTCATCACACATCTGCAGTCACAATCATAAAATGGTTTAGTTTGGAAAGGACAATAAAGATCATCTAGATCCACCCTCTCCAGCCATAAGCTAGAGAGACCAGACTATTTCCACTAGACCAGACTGCTCAAAGCCCCATCCAAACTGGCCTCAAGCCATTCTAGGGATGGGGCATCCACAGCTTCTCTGGGCAACTTGTTCCAGTGCCTCATCATGCTAACAATAAAGAATTTCTTCCTAATATCTACTATAAAACTATCCTGTTTCAGTTTGAAGCTGTTTCCCCTTCTGTAACTACATGTCCTTGTAAACCATCCCTAAAATTGCAGAACCATCTGTAGATGAGATACATGACCAGAACAGGATACATGATCAGACCAAGCTGATCAGGTACTTCCAAATCAGAAAGTTCAGGTCTTAAGAATGTGTTCTCACAGCCACCTAAGCCTCATTTGGCTGGTCATTTCTGCAACCACCATCACTTCCAGGTGGGGCACTCCAGACAGATGTTTATGTTAAACACCCAACAGGTTATGTGTAAAGGCAGGAAGGAACAGTCCAGAAAGTGAGATGAAACAGCAACCTGAAGATTTTTCTGAAGATGACATGCTTCTGGCAATACATAAAAAAAATGTTTAGCAATTTCAGATAACAGATTAAACACATTTATTTATTAATTTATATGATCTTTGAAAAAATGCTCTGTATTTTATAGTCATCAAGATTAGTTGGCAAGTTTATTTCTAACTGAAAGACTGGTTCAGGCTGAACTGCTGCTACCATCCTTCTCTTTATTGGTTCCTTTTACACTAAACAGCGTGTGTATCTCCTGAAACTTGACCTAATATTAATCTAAACACATACCTAATCTTTTTCCCTTTTCAAGGTGTTGCAGTGTAGGGATTTTTTTTAATTGCATTCCTCATCTTACATCAAAGAGATCTATTAAGAAAAGCAGCCATTTGTTTTCCTTTAAAAGAGTAAAACTAATTACTTTGAGTTTATTAATACTAGCCCAGATTTCTAAGTCATTTCCCAAACAGGTTTTTAGGTACTACTTAGCTTTAAGTCAAGCATGCCATTCTTTTTTGCTGCAGAACAAGCATGCTTAACCAGTCAGCTAGAAGTCTGTACTATTTTTTATTTTTATATGCTTACATTGAATAGTCCCATTGAACTATTCACATGATTTAAGGTGGAGGCTGCTGAATTTAATTACCTCATATTCACTCACAGCAGTAATACCAGTACCAGATGGTGAATGAGGCCTCATTGGTGAGGAGAGATACCCCCAAACCTCTGTAAATGCATCCAGTCCCTTAAACGAGAAACTCATGCTGTTGTCTTTCCCATCCCTATGTCATCCTCCACTCTGCACCCATCTGAGCAGTGTCAGTACAGTGGCTGGAAAACAGAGGTGAACACAAGGGTGATTACCATATACAGAAGGATGATGCCACAAAGCATGAGGAACACAACATTCTTAGTCATATGATTTAGTTTGAGGGGGTCTGTGAAGAGCAAGGAGTTGAACCCAGCAATCCTTATGGGTCTCCTCAAACTTGAGATATTCTAAGATTCTATGATTCAGTCAAAGTTTTCAAGAAATTGTTTCCCATAAAAATAAAAACTGTTAACTGAAACTGAGCAAGGAGTAGGATTTTTAGTATTGTTTTTGCCCTTTTCTTTGAAGTTTATGTCTCCTGGCATCCTATATTCTGTTTCTTCAGATGTATTCAGTTCTAAAATTGAATCAATATAAAGGTTTGTGCAGGTGCACATGTTCATTATTGTTAAGTGATTTGGTCAAAGTTTCCATTTTTGTATAGGTTATATATATACACCAGTTGTTTGAGCTGTCATTCTTCTCTTTTTTACAGATACTGTTTTTATAGTCTCATATTTCTTCTGTTTCAGTTTCCACTTGGTCCTCACCGGATACAAAAGAAGTTACAGTACCAACAGTTAAATCTAACAAAACCTCCTGGTCTGACTCTACTTCACAGGCTTTCCCATGCCTCTTACCTAACCTCTGAATATTGCTGCTTAGCAGCAATGTGGTCTCTTTCCTTTTAAGCAAAGAATAAAGCTGTTCTGTAGGCAGCACAACTAGTGAAGCTGTGGACATGCCCAGCACACTCTGCACAACTAACCCTGCCCACACTTTGGGTACATCTCTTTCAGGAACAGGCTAGTAGCAGTTTGGTAAATTTGGCAATAGTGGTCCAAGTCTTCTCATTTTTCCTCCAGCAGACACTCAATGTGGTATCTCTCCTCTATGCAGCTATTAATATCTACAGATTAGAAAGTGCCTGAATTATCTGATTCATCCCCCTATTCCACTTCTCAACTATGCCAATGTATTTGAGTGGAATCCAAAACACACAGTGCACCACCTTCTCAGAAAAACACAGCTCAAATAGAAATGTTTTGGTTTAAAAATCTAATTTAATCTGCTGGTTTACTTACTTGCCCTCCACAGGCCACATCTGTAGATGTTATATCTAAAGCAGGAAGACATTATTATGGTTTCTGAAAGATTTTTCCCTGGATACTTTTATAAATAGATACCCTCTTCCAACAAGTCACAAAAGCAAAGAGTTAATTTTCTCCCTACTATTTAACACAGTAAGAGATCTGTGGGTAGCGAGTCTCAAAAGACATAAAGTATGCCCACTCAGTTTTAAAAACCAGTCTTTAATGAATAAATACATTTTGACTTTAAAATTAATGAGTTTACCAAAAAGTAGCCTGAATTAGCTAGGTAAAGATGCCTCATCCTCCCTCAGAGCCCCTTAAGTTTCATTAGAATACCCTGTTACAAATGAAACACAGAAGAAAGAGATGAAATACTTATTCTACTGACATCAACAGGAACCAAAAAAATCTTATTACTCTACATGGCAGCACAAACTGGCAAAATTATCTAGAGCTTTTATCTCTCTCAAAAAAAAAAAAAAAAAAGTATTATCTATTCTTTAATCCCTAAAGGGAGTGTGTCTGAGCAAATGCAACAGACTAAGTGGTTCTAAATGTGCCATTTTCAAAGAGGGGTTCTAAATGGTAGCTTCACTGGTGCAGTGGAAGAGCATTTTGGTTTGAAGACCTTTTTTTAAGGGAGTAAGAGAAAAAATAAATTATACTGAGTTCTGTTTTGGAAAACAGTCATTCAACACATGCTTTAGAGTCTAACAAAACTTCTGAACAGATGCAAGAGAGGACATAATGTTTTTCTACTGCTGAAAAGCAATATTTATCTGTATGAAAAACTAAAAATTGCCAGCTTCCAAGTAACACATGAAAAATGTGCGCTTTTATGAGATCAGATACTCCTAAAAATACTTTTTTTTGATGTTCAAAAGCAGTCAGGCATAAAGGGCATACTTAGCAATAAACAAAATTCCTCAGATAGAGGTCATAGCAGTTTTTATTATAAGAATTTTTATAAAGAAAGTAACATCATTTCCATATGAACATCTCAATTCCTGGACACTTCATATAGAAAGACAGTTGCAGCTACTTTGTATCAGTAGGAATAGAAACAGGCTATCTTCACACAGGGGAAAAACAATCAAGAAAAACTAACACTTTCATGCACTGAATTCAACTTCAATATTCTGTATGTACATTTCATCATTACCTAGAAAAACGGATGAACTATTTGAAAAAAAGGTTGTTGCATGCAATGGCTATGTAGAGGACTAGAAAGGACTTATTAAAGAACTTGAAAAAAATCAACAGCGCATTTGAAAAGAAGCAGAAGAACTCAGTAATGCTCTGAGCAAGAGACAAAAATTGTAATTACCTGATCATTCTGCTGTATAAACAAACTTATTTTGCAGTCATCACCACCACAAGCCAGTATTGGTACTAGAAAGGAAAAGAAGATCTTCATTTTTTATAAGATCTAATATTCTAGGATACGAAAAAATAAAAATAATGTAAAATCAATGTAGAAATATGTCAAAATATTACAATACTAACAGACAGGCAAGGTGATAACACTTTTTCAATGCTTTCTACATTAGCTGTCTAATAAATTAGTATCTTAAGAACACAGAACTCAAAAGTTATTTTTACATGCAAATAATATCTATAAATATTTAAGATGCTAAAAGGAGTAGTTTGCCTCAAGCTCATGTATCTGTAGGAAGTTCAAGTATTAGAGTTTTCAATTAACTATATTTTATTGATATCAACAGGCAGGAGATAAAGAAAATATAGAGAAGAAGGAAGGAACAAAACCAAATTACTCAGAACTAAGGCAATTCAAGGTCCTAAATCAATTAAGACAGGTTTAGATGGAGTTGGCATAATTATTATACAGCAAATAAAAAGACAAAAAATGGAAGACAGATTACAATCTGTACCCAAGAATATGAAACATTTTTCACTCAAGACTACTCAAGTCTTGAGTAGTAGTTGACTTCCACTGGCTAACTTGCAAGCCTCAAATTTCTTTTCTTGGTGAAATTAGAGGCTACTGTAAATGCTTGAGGAAATGTAGTTTATGATTTTCAGAAAAGTAATTCTGTGTTTAGTTCCTTACTTAAGAAATGCAGATTGTTCTCAAGAGAAAAGCTTCTTTGAATTTCTCTGCAGCTGAAAATTTTAGCCTTCATAAAGATTTCTGAGCAACTCCTAAATTTATCATAGATCATTTTTCCCTGAAGATTATTAAAATTCCAAATTGCCATTTGAGATTAATGTTTCTGACAAATGTTCAGCAGTGGTATTTTTAATAATATATTTTAAGCTACTTTATTTAGATTTCAGAATTAACATACTCCTCAGCTATATGGACTACTGTATCAGGTTTAGGGAGAAAACACTGACTATGCTTTATTTAAAAGGCCCTTTACAGATTTTACAGGAAATATTTCTATACATTTATGGTTCAAAATCTAAATTGTTTATTGGCAATTTTAGCAGCAGAGGTAATTCGTATTGAAATTGGAACAAAAAAAGCAAATGTCTAGAAATTTTAATTCCATACAAAATGAAATTTTTTGTGCAAATTGAAATTAAGCAAAATGAAAATAATTTCAGTTCTCAAGAAAAATAAAGAACTATTTTTCAGTTTATGAGCACTGTACTGCTTTAGATAACTAATCTGAACCGGGATGAGAAGAGTTCATAATAAAGGACTGTCCCACTCTCAGTGTAACTTTAAGCAACACTGGTTTTGGGAACTCTGGAAAACAAAATCCTTGCTATTCCACCATTAAAAGAAACATTTAATTTTAGGAACTAATACCAGAATTTTAATTTATGGTGTTTTCAGAAGGTAAGGTTACTTCTCTTATATACAACATGATTTCAACATTGAACAGATGCACTAGTAGAGTGTTACACTGAGAATTTCTTACCTGTATAGTATCATAAATGAAGGTATAACCTATTGTTTTGCAATGTGAATGTTATAGACAACACACTTCACTACTAAAGAATATTCACACTTGCAGTAATGATTTTAATTTACCCTCAAACCTTTTACCTTTTCATCTCAACAAGCACTTGTTAGTGTATTTACAGGAAAGGAGAGAGAGGTGTAAATGTTCTTTCACGATGCAGATGCTGCTTTTGATATCAGACATGCTCTGAAAACTGACACTGGCATTTCCAAATGGGACAATGCATCTTGATAGAGCTTTCATAGTTCCCAGAATTATCAAAGCCAAAGAATAAAGTATGCTTGTAGGCATATAATCAAAACAACACATCAGTGATGGAACGCATGCAGCACAGAGCTGAAAATTCCGTATACAGTAAGAAAATTTTTTCTTAAATTTTTTCTTAAATTAAAAAAGAAAGCACTTTTTCAGTTGGGAGCCTGGCAGGTCTCCATCCTGGTGAAAGCCTCTAATGATACTTAAACACAAACTTAATTCAACACATGAATCTAGCTTAAGGATACATCTGCTTTACTAAAAATAGCTTCTGCCTATTTGCACAAAAAGAATGTGTCTGTGGCAGCCTACAACATCTAACATTTCTGTTAATAGAAATCTACAAAAACCATACTAGGCAGTCAGGTTAAAGTAGTTCAGCATCTCAATTTTTTCACATTTAAGACTGAACAGGTGACAAACACTGCTTCAGAAACTATGGTTTTCAATGCAGGGCTTCAGATTTTATCTGAATCTTGCCCCTCAATTCACCTCAATTCAAACAACAAAAACAAATACATGCAGCAGCACCACAAGGAGTAGGTAGAACTAGCAGCATCATCCTATCCCTTTCATTTACAGCACTGTTACCCTGTTTTAAAGCTTTCCATCTCAAGAGTTCAACTAAACAACACCATCTGAGTGCCATTTTGAAGACATTATATCAGTCTGTGTTTTACTAAAAGGAGTTCAGAGAAAATCTTTAGATACAAGAATCAGCTTAAGCAGATTTCATAGAAAACAAAAACTGTGGCACACAGGTCTGGAGTCAGTCAAATGAAAACCTATTTGGGGGATTTCTTAGATTTTTCTTCCTGCATTGATATTCAAGATGTGCAGCTTTACTTACCATCGCTGCCAGGCAAGAAGGATAAGCAGACATCCATAACAAATCCATTTCCAAACTGCAGAATTTCAATGCATTTAGCTGGAAAACAGGAACAGACAGCATTGATCTCATACACTGTAACTATTACAGTTACACTGTGATTTCCTTCTATATTATATAGTTAAAATTTCCCATCCATTTTTAATTTAAGAAGCTGAAAAAAATCTACATTTTTTTCAGAAGCCTAAACAATATCATCTTCTGTGTAGCCATAAAAATTCATCCAGTTAGTTGAGTTAGAAGATAATACTAAGTATGAAATCTATACAGCTTCACTGTGGTAACACATCAGAAGCAATAAATATTACAAAGTATATCCTGTGGCAACAGCATTCACAACACAGGGAGATAAAACTGAATCCATTTGCTACAACAGCAGCTAGAGAGATGAGCAAAAACCTGCAAACATCCCTGAGATCCTGGAAATGGTTAAACTAGAGTAAGCCATCCAAAATAAACAAGAGTATAGCCCGAAAAAAACCTCTCTACAGCAGAAGAATTAGACCTCTATCAATGTAACCCACACCAGCAAGACAAAATGGAAAAGACAGGACTTCGTGGGGTTCTTTGGGAGTACCAAACGTGTTCTGGAACATGGGACTGTAGATTGGCAACACCCACCTCTCTCACATAGGCAAGGCAATATAAAATCCTCAAATACACCAGAGAAGGAAGAAAGTAACTAAAGAAATGCAGTTCACTATAACTCAACCAGCAAATAACACCTTAAATCTCTATTATCTACCCAATGTATTTCTTATGTATTTTAGAATGCTGTTTTCCTGTATTTCCATGCAAGGGCCTAGTGCAACAGAAGGTCAAGATCCCATTATCCCAAACATCATTGAACTCAAGTCAATAGAAAAAACAAGTGACTAGTTAAACCTCATCTTTCTAATGCCAGCATTAATCATTTTACTACCTAATTTTACTTCACACATGCATACAGCCAGTCTGCCTCCACATTACAGAGCAAAACAATGGTTCAGATTAGCATAATCTGAATACATATTTTTTTTAAAAAGTAAATTCAGGCTACACATCCCTGATGAAATATAAAGAAATCATTCTGCAGAACAAATCTGACCCAAGGCTTTCAAAGAGTAATGCAGTGCTTTGATGTACTGAAGTCTGAAGAGAAATCAATGTAGTTGCATTACAAGTTGTTAGTATTTAACACCTAATGGATAAGCATTCATCATTCTTATTCAGCCAGTATGTTATTCCTAACTTTAAAAAAGTGTTACCTTCAGAACCATGCCGAGACCAGATTCTCACAGTAGAGTCAGAGGCTGCAGAAGCTATCAGCAGATTTAAATCAGATTCATCTGACTGGTAGACAGCATCCACAGCAAAAACAGCTTCCGTGTGGCCTTTGAGAGGAATGCTTTTCACAAGCTGAACACATGAGAAAATTTTACCAAGTTTTAAATTCCAGTAACTTATGTAGGAGCATTTTTAAAGCCTTTTTAGGAAAAAAAAGCAACATAATACTGAAAATGCGTTCTATACCTGCAATGGCACTGCGTCTGCCAAGCTATGCTTAAGCTAGCTGCATATTCCAGGAAACCCAGAGAAGGGGTACAGCAATGAATATTAACTCAGTAAGATTTTGCTTAAAGCTGAACAGAATTAAATGCTCCTGTGTACACTATACAAACCTCACCCTTCCTTGAGAGAAGCTGGAAACAGTACAGAAATTAGGAAGAGCCGTCTTCCTTCCTTTTTCCCATTCACTTGTCCCTCACCCTAAGGTACATCTCAACAAAAGTTTGGAGAGCCTTAGTGAAGGAGACAGAGCAGAGAATACAATGGAAAAAGCAGCAGCCACAGGAGCTCTAGCAGCAATGTTTAGTGTGTTTTCACAAACCAAAACAGCTCTTTACTCCTTGAAAAAGCTAACGTAAAAAAAAAACTGATAAATTTAGACAATGAAGACAGGTGATTCAATTTTCAATCTGTTCCTCATAAACACAAAGATCAAAATTACAAGCTTTTAATTCTGCAACAAGAAGTCCTCCAGCATTTATCCAAATTTTATCATAGACAGCCTTGACACTTCTTTCCAAAATACAGCCTGGTAGGCTCCAGTACAAATTTTTCATTAGTTCAATACAGAACTTTGTTTTTAAGAATTTAGTCTAGAACTGCCATTAAAACATGCACATTTAGCCACATTCTTTTGAAATTACTGCCATATGGCTGTGCACCACATCAGCATAAAAATGTTATTAAAAAGTCTGTAAGTTAACTTAAATAAATGCATGAACGGTTACAATGGATCAGGACCAGAAATAACTTATTTCTGAGAACTTTCCCCCATCAAAGTTCATTTCCCCCTACTATGCATTCTCACGCACTTTACAATGCCAAGTCTAATAACCTCCTTTGAGACAGATGATGAAATGGGCTACCTGCACTGCCATTCATAATCCAGTGTCTAATAAGAAAGACTTTAAAAGCTAGATAATGAAGTGGTTTTTTCATCAAAATTTGAGGTAATTCTGAAGGCTCTTTCACACAACACTGAATCTTTTGCCTTGCATTTTACAGTACAAATAATAAATTAGCATGTCTCCTTACTTTTCTCCATTTCTCTGACAAAAGCCAATTGCTGCACAGATTTTTTATTTTCATTTTTGTTAAACATCTACTCCAACTTGTGTATCTTCCTGGTAAGACTATCTATATACAAACCCCACACTGTTGCACAGATCGACTGGAAATCACTAGAAATGGATATAAGGAAACTAAAGGGTACAGAAAATGCCAGCTCACAATGGGCCTCATGGTTTGAAGGTTTTAAGGTGGTTTAAACAAAACTGCCATGTGAGATCAGAAAGCGGATGAGTCAAGAACAGACAAACAGAGTCTTTCAGACACCTAAACAAATACACTCAAATACTGACGGGTTAGTTAATTCCTTTACCTTTAAGACAGAGTAAGTCCTTTAAGACAGAGTAACAACATTTTCCAGGATATACACACTGGGTTCAATTTTAAAAAAACTCCAAAAACACGCAAAGTGAAACTAATAGTATGAACCAGAAATACAGACAAAATAGATAATTTGTGGTATGTGAGGAACTAGTGCAGAGGGAGGCTTGAAAAGAGGTTATTCCTGCTTACCTGATTATTCCATGTTACTGTATCTTTCCATTCCCAAAGAATAAGTTGTTTATCAGATCCACCAGAAATTAACGCTGTTTCAGAAGCTAAAAAAATGTTTTGGTTAGTTTGTTACAGCAACATAAGCAGTTCTGCTGGTTACTACTCAAAAAATATCACTGGTAACCAAAGCTTTCACCAAAATAAATTATGGTTAATAGAAGTTACACTGTGCAGAACAGGTTAAGAGCAACAATATTCCCTAACAAAATGTAATGAGAAAATTTACAGGACTATTTAAAGTTCTGTATGAAAGTGATAAAATACCTTTCCAAAAGACTCACAAATCCAACAGTGTAAATTAATATTCTGAGGTTTTGTTTGGTCTTTTTCGAAGATAGGAAAATAAAGCAAGAGAAATCTAAATAAACAGAATTCAAAGCTTCACAAGAAAATTTAATTCCCAAGTTCCCTGAAAATAGCTTATTTTAATAATTTTTAAGAAGAATATGTTTTAGTGCAACCTGTTGAAAGGATGGCAGTTTATACCACTATTAAAAACTAATGCTTGCACCTCAGTACTCATCAAAAAAAGGAAGCAGCGTATTACATTAACAGTCTAATCAACAGTCACTTTTCTCTTTTTCAGAGAGTTTCCATAAATGCCTAAGGGCAAAATATATGCCTATGAAAAGCCTGCACTAAGCAATGTTAAATCCTGGAATTACTATCCAGCAAAAGCCTCATAAATGTCTCAAACATTTCTATCTATCGAAAGATTCTTTTTTACGACCACATAACCTCTATGCAACTTCAGAGCTTCATACTCAGAGATTGCTGAAAAGGCATTGGAAATTGGTTTACAAAGTCAAAACACACAAAACTCCAAACCTTACTGAAGAGACTGGTAGCAGAACAAGCAGCACAAGCCATCAACCTGTGTGAGCTGCCGCAGCACCAGGCAAACATTCTCCTGGGGTGCCCTTGGCTGTGGGGCCGGGAGCAGAGATCCCCTCACCCAGCAGGTAGCTCATCTGGGTTTGGCAGGTTGCATTCCTACAGACCCACCTGTTAAAATTAGGCCAGATCTCGAGTACTGTGCCCAGTTCTGAGACACTCAATTCAGGAGGGGCACTAATGTGCTGGACCAGGTCCAGAGATGGGCAATAGAGCTGATAAGGGTCTGGAACATGCATCTTACGAGGAGTGGCTGAGGGAGCTAGGGGTGTTTAGCCCGGAGGAGGCTCAGGGCAGACCTTATCATTCACTACAACCATCTGAAAGGAGGGAGTAGCCAGGTGGGGCTCGGTCTCCTCTCCCAAGTAGCAAGTGACAGGACGAGAGAACAGTCTTAGGCTGCGCCAGGGGAGGTTTAGGTTGGGGGAAAATGTCTTCACAGACAGTGTGCTTAGACACTGGAATGGACTGCCCAGGGAGGTGGTGGAGTCACTGTAGGCATTTAAGGAAAGCAAGGACGTGGCACTCAATGCCACGGTCTAGTTGACACGGTGGTGTTGGGCCATAGCTTGAACTCGATGATCTCAGAGATATTTTCCAAACTAACTGATTTTGTGAAAATCCCTACTGGGAAGCTGGGCTTAAAGCGAAAGGATGCACTGTAAGCGTCGCAGTCCCCTATTTCCTCCAGTGTAGAGTGCAGCCACGCTGTTACCGAGCCTCCCCCGTCCCCTCTCCCCGTCAAGGGCAGCAGCGCCCGCGGCCCAGGGGGAACCGGCGCCGGCCCCACCGCGGCACCGCGTCCCGAGGGGACGGCGGGTGCAAGGCCGCGCTACTCACCGCGGTCCCGCCGGCGGACCCACCGCACGCAGTTCACCCTGCCGGTGTGGCCGCGGAGGGCGGCGACCGCCCGCCTCACCTGCGGGACAGACGGACAGCACCGAGAGTGAGGGACTGCTCCTGCTCCCGGTCCCGGTCCCGGTCCTACCCCAGAGCGCATCAGCTCACCGCCGGGTCGTAGAGGATGACGTCGTGGCAGCTGCCGAAGGCGACGAGGCCGCCGAGGCCCCAGGCCACGGCGCCGCCGCCCGCCCGGTTGGCGCAGCAGGCGATGTGACAGAGCGACACGGGCGCCGCCATCTTCGCCGCCGCCGCGTGCGCGACCCCGCGCGGCTCCCATAGCAACGACCTCGCGCGGGGCGGGGCCTGAGCGGGGCGGGCCGAGCCGGTGTGGGGCTTCTCGGTGGGAGGTGGGAGTTCTAAACTTCTTTGCAGCTTTTGCCGGGACCTCAAGGGTTTAAAAAGTTTACAACTTTTCTGTTTGCTGGTTTCCGTGAAGACGTTCCCCCTAATGTCCAGCCTAAATGTCCCCTGGCGTAGCTTAAGGCTGTGTCCTAATCCTGTCGCTGGGTGCCTGGGTGAAGAAAGCGATCCCCACCTGGCCACAATCTGTTTTCAGGGAGTTATAAAGAGCATTAAGATCCTCCCCCGAGCCTCCTTTTCTACAGGCGACACAACCCCAGCTCCCTCAGCCACTCCCTGTAGGATTTACTCTCTGGACCTTCACCAAGTGGATTCCACCTAAGCTGCAGGACATCTAAGTACGAGATCGTGTCGCTGCTACCTGATGTTTTCATCACCTGTGAAGCCAACTCCTGATCAGGAATCATGCTCAAATTAAGTCTCTGACGTCGGTGTATTTAATACTACCGTGTACGATGTCCTAAAATTACTGTCATGGAAATCATGAGAATCTGCAACTGAGCAATGGCCAGCCTGAATGTCTTGATCTGAATATGTTTGAATACCTCTGCTTTTCAGGGAAAAAAAAAGTTAAGAACAGAGCAATTTGTGAACTCCATCTGTTACCTTTTTTTTATTATTTATTTATTTATTTATTTTATTTTTTTATATATATTTATTGTCGTTCCTGCACAAGAAATAAAATTTAAAAATTTTCAAATAAAGGAAAAAGAAATACTGCAGTAATATTCTAGTTTTACTTGCAGGGTCACTGGCCTTGAGAAACGGAATCAAAATACAGGGTATTTATTACACTGTATAGATGTGCTCAAATTGTATCAACCACTTGGCTTCACAGGTTCAAGGACTCTGCTAGTTCACAGTAGCCACAGGTGCAAACAGCTGCCCCACAGGCTGAGTAGGAGCCTCAGCAGGACCTTCAAGACATCCACTCTGCCTCCAAATGTGCTGCCTCACACATACAGAAGGCCGTGGAGCAGAAGCCAGGTTGGAGTAAAATGGAGAGCTCAGCTATGCAAGTATGGAAAAGGGAGAGGAACAGGGATGTGCTTCCTGTCCCCAAATCCCACCTAGGATACCCTGAAATATTTGAAATTGAACTGGAAAACTGAGAAGTCTGGGCTGGAGGGAGAAGCTGGCTTTATGGGGGTGTGCAGGAGGTGGGGGCAGGAAGAGAAAGCAGTGAAAAGCAAGCAGGCATCAAGAGGAAGCACTCTGGCTAGCGCATGGAACATTTTGGGCCCTAAACCTCTCCTGCCAGGCCTTTATCTCTCCCATGTATTCTTGAATCCTGGCTGTCTGCAGCCCTGTAACCTGACACAAAAACATTGCAGATAGGCAGAGTTGTTTTCCAGTGGGTATGAGAGGAAGGAAGCTGTGCCTGATCACACACAAGATACAGCCAGAAATGTTAGCTGCTAGGGGAACAAATGACTCCTTGCAGAAAAATGCATGGATCCAGTCATCAAAGCATGCCTTGACTGAGGAGTGCTGTCTTGAGCTGCCAAGGATGGCTGCAAAGCAGTCAGGTTGCACAGCAACCCCTTCTCAGCAGACTTTGCCAGGGTTGGAGTCAGGGCTCGGGCAGAAGGAGGTCGAGCACTGCCAAAAAGCTGGGTCATGTTATAGGAGTTGCGTCTGTTGCTGTGGGAACAAAGCTGGCTCTGGCTGTGATTGTAGGCATAAGCGTAGGCTTTTCCAAGGATTGGGTGAGAGACTCTTCTGTGACACAAAAAGTTAGGTAACCTGAGGCTTTTGCTGTCCTGTAAACAGATTGACTGGGGTGCTGCTTGTATTGGAGAGGTTAGGGGTTGTGTCGTGCCTAAGGACACAAGGGCATTGTGGCCCCACGCTGCAGGGTTTTGCAGGGCTTATCCTTGTACACCTCAGGGTGCTTTCCAAGCCAGTTTGAGATACCACATTGTGGAGGGCTGCTAATGCCAAGTATTGACAGTGATTGCCTCTTTTCCCCCCAAAAAATGTCTATCACTGTCACCCTGGTGCCACCCTAACAGTCCAACACTGAGAGAACTGGGATAAATCAACACAGAATATGGAATTAAAAGTGCCATGAGGAATGCTGTAGCAGCACCATGGTGCATGGCTAAAAAAGCACAGGAATCTGGATTTATGTCAGGACAGATCAGCCCAGATGAGCCCAGTTTCTTACTTGTCATAAGTACTCTGTCTGACCAAGGCTTCATTCAAATAAGACTCTGAGCCCTTGATGAAACCCAAGAAAGTCTTTTTGTGAATTCTAACGTTACAGGATCTTCTCTTGAAAACTGAAATATCTGGAGGATATTGTATGAGAAGTTTAGAATATCAGATAATTACTATAGAACCAATATGCCTTTTAGGAGCACATACTTTATAAGAAGTAATAGTGATGGTCAGTGGTATTACAAGGATAGAAAAGGACATACTCTAGACTTGTCAGCTGCCAGTCTTCATTCATAGCTAATGTCCTCGTGAAATTAAAATCTCTTGTAGAGGCCCAGAGAAGTGTGTGCTTCCTTCCCCTTAGAGTGGGTCATCACATCAGTCCTTGTTTTCTTTCATATTCCCAAAAAATAACTTCTTTATTTTTCAGAAATATAAATATATGTAAAAATAATCTTCCTCTTTTCTCCCTTTGATGGAATTCTTGAGGCACAGGAATAACTCAGTTCATTGAACATCAGAGATGGTTATTATGGTGCCTAAGCAGACTTCAAAAGTCACTCCATAGTTTTGTACATATCTTTTATGTGTCTGTTTGGTTCTGCCAATGGAGGTAAATCAACAAGCTCTGATAAGGGAGATACTATTTGAACAAAAGCTTTCTTGAGCTTGGAATAAATACGCCAATTAGTTAGGCATTGGAAAAACTTCTGTTCCAATAGTAATTTAGTAGCAAAATAGTAATTTTGTATAGAAATAGTAATATTGATGGTAAACTCATGTTTACAAGTGAGATTTTGCAGACAGAGGTGGCTTAGTGCCCTTCATGTGCTCCCTATCCAGCTCAGTTATGCCTACAACTTTATGAGAGAGATGGAGAAAATACAACAGTAATCAAAAAGTTACATTTAGTGTTTAATATACTTTTTTAACTATGTCTAAACATTAAGATTAAAATACAATAATGTTGCAGATATGTTAAATAAAAGTTTAATGCTTTCTTTTATTGGGTGAAATCCTGATGTACAAGAATATGTGTTAAAAAACAGGAGACATTCTACATGACACTATGAAAAGCAGCAGTCATATGTTAGGTTTACAGTTAATTATATGTAGGTTAGTTCTATAGAGGAAAGTTCAAAAGTTGTTAAATGAGCAAAACCAGTACTTAAAGGCTGGGGGCCTTGTTCTTGTGAATTGTTGAACTTAGCCTATCTTTATGTGTCTTCGTTGCATTCATGCTTATGAAGTAATCCCTAATGAAATTGCCTCATACACAAGTTACTGTTTGATATTTTTACTTGAGCTTGTTTGCCTCCAGAAGCAACCTGGATGAGTAGTGCCTGGTGAATGAGACAGCTATTCAGTATTTCAATGTCTCCTCATTAGCTGTATCATGGCCCTAGGCTTAATATTTTGTACAGTAGTCTTTTCTGTACAGCACCTAATTATCTTTTTCCATAGCCATTTTTTTTTCTTTTTTCTTTTTTGGTAACTTCTACTGCCACACCACCTGAATGTCTCAGGAAAAACTTTATGAGATTCATTTTTCTAACCTTTAGGCAGAGGGGTATTATTATATTAATTTCCTGGGATAAATTTCTGCCTAGATCAAAATTCATAATAAAATCACAGACTCATAGAATGTCTTGGGTTGGAAAGGAACTTAAAAATCACCTACTTTGAAGCTTCTGCCATGGGTAAGGACACTTTCCACTAGACCAGGTTGCTCAGAGCCCCATCCCACCTGGATTTGAATACTTCCAGGAATGAAGCATCCACAGCTTCTCTAGGCCAACTGTTTCAACTGAACTGTTGGTGCCTCAACACCATCACGGTACAGAATTTCTTCCTAATGCCTAACCTAAACCTGCTCTTTCCTTTTGAAGCCATTTCCCCTCTTCCTATCACAACTCTCCTTGATAAATAGTCTCTCCCCTATTTGCTGTCATTTCCACCCACTTTAGGTACAAGAAGGCTGCTCCAGGATGTCCCCAGAGACTTCTCTAGGGGGTCCTAGACTTCTCCAGACCATTCTCTAGGCTGAACAACCCCAAAACTCTCAAGCACCATAGATCTTTAGAGGTGAAATGCCTCTTGTGGAAGACAGAGAATAGCATTCAGGACACTGACAAACCATCCGCAGCATCCTTTGCCTCCAGCTTGGATTGAGAGCATTCAAAACTTGGAAATCAGATTCCAGCCCTGGGACACTACTGATGGCTGTGCCAAGGTTTCATCTGAGGGATCAGAGCTGGTGCACTGTGAAAATAAATATTAAGCAATAGCAACCAAACCATAAAGATGGGTTTTAAGAACTTCCCAGCTTCACAGAGGATATCCTGTACAGCAGCTGGGAACAGTTCCATTGCCTTTGACATCTTTTAAACAGATCCAGCCTCTTCCTTTTTGCCAGCTGTGGGATCTGTGTTGGAAGGCATTCCACTGCATGAGGAATACTAATTTGTAGGTTTGCTAGGATTTCCTTCCCTGGAGCATGCACCTACCAGATTTGATCCCAGAAAGAATGATCAAGGAGAAGTGTCATTCTCAAAGTCACTAATTGAGTCCACTGAAATTCAACATCAGACTGTTTTTTAACTGCCACTGGAACAATTGGGGAACTGTGGTCCTGCGTTCAATAAAAGTTAAGATTTCTAGTGTATCTTGAGTATAATGTAAGCCTGGGGCATCCTTTCCAAATACATTTCTCAAGATAAAAAAGTAGATATTGTTACTTGAATAGATTTAATT